TAATAAATTTTTATCACAACTGTGATTTTTCACTTAAGATTAAGAACAATGAAATAAATTCAGCAAATGAGTATAAGTTGTATGAGAGCTTGTAATGAATTCTTTCAAGTATTTCGTCAACTGAAGAAGATGAATGGAGTCTTGCTTTTATAGGCACAGAGGTCCAAGTAGCTTTTCACGTTGAAGGTTGTGTACTAAAAAGGTCTGAGCCTTTTTATCTTCACATCACATGACCTTTCCTAGAAGTAGAATGCATAGAAAAATCCTTTTTGTTTGTGTTCTTGTGTCTAGCATAAATGAGGAAAGAGTCGTTTGGTCATTCCAACGGACATAACTTTGAATTCTTCTTCAACAAGTTTCAGCAAGTATCATCAGAGTTTAGATTGATCAGAGCCTTCTGATGTTCATCAGAGTTTGCTGAATCAGAGTCTTTGCAGCAGGTGTGCTTTCAGCGTGTAATTGTTCAGAGCAGAGTTTGTGATCAGATCCTTAGTACTGGCAGCGTTAGTACTATCAGAGTCTTCTGAAATAACTGTGCTTGAAACTCTTCATACAGAATTCTTCAATGCTTCTGGCTTCTGCTTCAAATTCTTCTGTAGCTTCTGCTTCAGATCCTTCTATAGACAGCACTCAGAATCTTCTGGAGGCAGCGTTCAGAATCTTCTAAAAGATGCTTCTGACGCTTCAGAGCCTTGCATAATTTTCATGTTTAGATCTAATTTTCTTCCAGAATAATATTCACTTTAATATCTGCAGCAAACATTCTTAAACAAATTTTTAGAGTATATAATTCTTTAATACAAAATTTCATAAGAGTTATCATCAAAACATAAAGATATTATTAATAACCAATATGTGTTCTAACACATTATTCTTGATAGCTTTTATAAGGTTATGCCTATGAACACCCTTATACAAGAAAATAAAGTTTTTAGAATAACTTATAATCAAACAACAAACAAGGCTGGAAGTGGTTGGAAAGTTCCAAAATAATAAAAACTAAGATCGGAGTATAATATCCATCATTGTACAAGATACACAATACACAATGCACAACGGAATAAGCATAATCTAAGCTTCTCTTGAAACATCTGAGCAAAGCTCCACATGCAAACTAAACTTGCAAACATTACATGAAAAACAACAACAATAATGTGGTGAGATAATAATCTCAGTGAGTTCCCCTATCTTATGGTTTCACTCAGCTCTACAAGGTTCTAGCCAATTTCTATCGCAAGTCAAAAAGGGAAAGGGATAAGAATTGAGTCACACAATTTGCGATGTATAGAAACATGTATCTTTGTACTATAGATATCGACACTGGTCATGGATCTTTGTACTATAGATATCTTTCCCCAGCTAACCCACACAAGAGTTCTCGACACGGATCACAGATATCCAACTCATAGGTAACTTTCCCCGGCCAACCCACACAAGAGTTCTCGACACGGGTCACGGATACCTATCTAATAAGTAACTTTCCCGACCAACCCACACAAGAGTTCTCGACAGGGGTCATGGATACTTATTAGTGAAAAATAATATGCACATTCCGGAAGAGCTCTCTATATAAGCCTTCACTCTCGAAACGACACATCTCAAGGGAATTCGGTTCTGACTACGTGATAAAGCATAACATAACATCGGATGGGTTCAGATTCTAAGGGATAACATCAATCTTACAAATTGTCGCTTCCCATGGGAACACCTTGATCTCAAGCCTTTTACCCGTAGGTTCCATTCGCTTTTGTAATCACTAAGGATAGCGTGATTGTATTCGATAATCACATGGCATCATATTCGCCTTAACCATAAACAGCACAACCATATATGTTTCATACAAGACTTTCCTCACAACTAGACAAATACTTGTCAATGATACACCTAGGTATCCTTGTACATGCATTGTCATCTACGTTATTCATCATGACTTAATCATTTTACTAATTCATTTCATTAGTTAACATCAAGGGTTTCCTCACCATTCTTATAGTCTTTTAAGCATGTTATTACACAATCGCATTCATGTATATCATGCATAAACACATACGGTAAAGTAGAATAATACCTCAAGCATAAACATCTCACATAATACATAAAATCATTATTTATGTACTGATATTCTCGGTTAATTTGTGATCACATAATAGATAGGTCTTTCGGAACCAAGCCCCTCACCAAAGATCAAATCAATCACATAGTGCTCAACACAACACTAGATGTTCATCTTCACCTATTAACATAATATTCCACATTTTTAAATTCAAAGTCATCCTATCAAACCAAACGGGAAAAAGTTATGAAAGAAACAAAACGGGAAAAACTGCAGGGTTCATAGTATGAAGTCTGGGCGAGGTCCTTCGCTTTGAGTTTGCTGTGCATACTCTGGGTGAAGCTGGAAAAATTATGGCTGAGGCAAAAGCCTTCTCTGATCATTGTGCGAAGGCCAAGAGAATGTTCGCCTTCACTTCACTACTAGCTTGCAGTGCGAGCGTAGCAGGCTGATACGTTCGCTTGGGGTTCGCAGTGCAAGCTATGTGTTTTCCAGAATTCCCAGCAGTATGTGAATCGCTATGACCATGGCCAAAAATCTCAAACTCCAATACCCAATGTTCACAATACACATCCAAACACTCATAGGAACATATATTAGCATGAACTTCATCAAAATCATCATGTAAACAACATTTCAATTCCATTTATCATGCTTTCGCACAAAACCTAGCCCACCAATGTTTTTATTTTCTTCCCACAATGCTATACTAGCTAATGGAGCTCGCCTCATTGAAGAAAAAGATGGATTAATGGTGAAGATGATGAATCCAAGAGCTTTTCTTCTTCTCTTCCATTTCTCTCTTATTCTTCTTTTCCTCTTCTGATACTAACTTTTCTTTTCTTTCTATTATTTTCCACCAAATATATATATATATATATATATATATATATATATATATATATATATATATATATATATATATATATATATATATATATATATATATATATATATATATATATATATATATATATATATATATATATATATATATATATATATATATATATATATTATCACTAACACCAATTGACTAAATATTAGAGTTACTAAAATATTCTTTCTTACAATTACTAATATTGGTTTGTCTCTTTTTATTAAATAATTTATCTCTTTATAGTTCACTAGTTACTCTATTGATCTCAACTGATGACACTTAAAGCATTTAAGGAAACATGGGGTATTACACTTTTGGTTATCTGAAGAAAAAAAAAGGAAGGATAAAGTGAGATCTGGAAGAAGCCAATAGGATGACACATTGTTTTGATACCCTGACATGATGGAGATTGTGTTTGAGAAGAATTGCCGAGAAGGGATCTCTGAGATGGCATATGGAAGAAGCCAATAAGAATGATGTGGGCGGTGGAATGAAGACGCAACACGTGGAAAGGCGCGACAGGGAAAAGATAAGAAAAGAATGCGTAGGTGAGGAAGAAAGAAAGGACAAAAAAAGGGAATATTGATGTTAGGCCGATACCATAATGGAATTGCACAAACAATGTAATATTCATACTCTCTATGTCTCATAAAAAGTGTCTCATTTGTACTTTTTCTCTGTCTCAAAATAATTGTCCTTTTACAATACAAATGCAGAATTTATTATTTTCCAGTACTATACTTCTGGTTATTAACTTTTACATTCTTCTACCACTCTTTTAACTACAATTAATAAGGGTATTCTAATAAATGATGTTAATTTTATTATCAAAACTGACACATTTAATTATTTTCTTACAAACCGTGCATTGCTCAAATAGGACATTTTTTTATGAGACAGAGTGAATATTATTATTGATGAAAAGTTTACTTTACACAATAGTTAAGTGATGTATTTGTTAAAATTAGAGTTTGGACTAACTCAACCCTACAAAACTGGTTGGTAAGGTGGGGAATGTCACTCTATACAAACCCTTTGTAGATTGTATTTTTAATCAATGTGGGACTTGGGTTTTACTCAATACACCCCCTCACGCCCAACACTATTGGTGCGTGAATATAAGTGGCAGGTGGCCTGAATCGATAGGCTTGTGATACCATGTTAAAATTTGAGTTTGACCTAACTTGACTCTACAAAACCGATTGGTAAGGTGAGAGGTGTCACTCTATATAAACTCTTTATAGATTGTATCTTTAACCAATGTGAGACTTGGGTTTTTTTCAATACACTCCCTCACATCCAACACTATTGGACTTGGTACATGAATATAAACAATGTGTGGTCCGAATTAACGATATATGAGTCTTGATTTTTCCAATAGTACTTATACACCATTAAAGTAAATACCCTTCCTACAAAAGTGCAATTGACACTAAAACAGAAAATAACAAATAAACTAACTATTTATTATCTAACACAATCAACAAGAAGATGAAAACAGGCTTCGTGGAGGTATATATATCATTCATGAAAAGAAACTGTAGGAGCATGATAATGCTTCTACATAAACATTTAGATTCATTGTTCATAGTTTTAATATATCAATGAGAAAGATACGCAACCATAGTAACTAGTGGCCTTCAAATATCTTGATTCAACTTCCAATAATTATATTCAGATAAGTGATGTTTAATAAGAAGCACTAAGATATGCACGTCCAAGTCAATTTATAATGGTAGCATATCATGTCTATCTGATTATAATAGAAAAATATCTAATCTTTCTTTGATTTTGTATGTTCTAAAAATTTCACAAAATCTTTCAATCAATTTGAAGTTGATTCATGGCCCATGGTCTTCTCTCTGATTTTTTGGTGAGGCTAATTGGTTTACCAGGAAATTGAAAATTCTAAACATGAAAAATAGAAATAAATGATTGTTTCAAGTCAACACTGTTAAATTCTCTCAAGAAAATAAAGTATCTTTTTTACAATCTATCACCAAAAAAATTCATCATCATTAAATCAAAATGTTCATTCTGCTCTTGTGTCATGAGTCCATGACCCCTTTATGGGACAGAAAATGAAGAAGTGCTTGAACATTGTCTCTTGGATGAAGATTCAGCAGTAGAACAGTCTTCTTGATCAATGCATGACACCTCCGTATGGTCGCTACGATTACGCGCCTTATCAGGTTTCTGATCCTCTTCGTCCATATATTTCAGTCTCTTCTTAATAGTAGGATCATCACTATTTAGATTCTGAAGTACCGGAACTGTTTGGTCATTCGAAGAAGTAGCGCCGCGAGGTGCCTTGTCTTTCAAGAAAACTTTTGGAATCAACAGGTTTTCATTTTCATCAACAACTTCTTGTCTATCTTGTGAGCTGGAAGCTTTTGTAGCTGCTTCTGTTTCCCACATCTTGAATATAGCTTGAGTCAATTGTTCTCTTGCCAAATCTATGTCAATGATTGGTTTTGGATAGTTTTGACCCAACTCTACACCTGATGCTGTGAGCACGGTGAGCGGCGCATCCCATGGATGGTGAATCCACTCAGCTGGCATTCTTGCTAACTCGGGCAGCCATTGACGAATGTACTCACCTTCTGGGTCGTGTTTCGTCCCTAGAATCTGTTTCATAAAAGTTGGACAAAATTAGAGTTCTTGCTAAACTATTGTCACAGATAAATAAAGCCTCGTAAAATTTGTCACAGTTAAATGACGCTTAAATAAGGTCTCTATTTGTTTTGTCATGGATAAACTGCAGATAATCTATACAAGGCCTTCAAAAACTTGAGACGGCTTTAAATATAAGAAAACATGACATACCTCTGGATTGTCCAACCGCTCGAGCTTGTGACCGTCTGGTAAGCTACCTGAGATATACTGCCATCCCAAAATATCGCTTTCGAGATCTGCATCTAATAGTGTATCCCAAAAATATTTCATTCCCCATTTCCATGGTATAAGCAACATTTTCACTGCAAAACTCGAAACTATGACTCGCATTTTGTTGTGTATCCATCCTGTTGCCCAAAGCTCTCTCATTCCTGCATCAACCAATGGATATCCAGTTCTACCTTGCCTCCAAGCTTTAAAATTCGAAGGATCATTATTCCAAGGAAAAAATTTCAAGTTCCCTAACAATGGCCTCTCGAGTGTGAATGGAAAACTAAAACAAAGATAACGCGAGTACTCTCTAAATCCAATGGCCCTGAGAAAAAGCGTTGCACTCTCTTCACCGACGATGTTCCCTTGGTGAGTCCATAATATCTGTTTCGTGCGCGCCAGCTGAAATACTTTCCTCACACTCAATTCTCCGAAATGAATATATGGAGATAACAATGAGGTTGAATCACCACCAAGGTTTAATCGGTTTCCCGAGTAGTGAAGCAAGTTGTTTTCGACGAATTCGGTTAATGCCTTGTCACTTTTGCTCCAACCTGGAGACCATGCTCTTCCTAATGATGCATTGCTTGATTTTTCTAACTCATCTTCAAGACCTAGTTGCTCAATTGAATGTTTCTCAACTTTACCTGTCATCAAAACAAGAAAAGAAACAAATTATCACCTGAACTTGTAGACAGTATGGTATAATACATAGTCACATAATTCCGAGATACCCCTGCGAACCGCAAATTGGTTCGCAGATACTGGTTCGTGGTACTTTTGCGAATTCGTGTAAAATGAGAGTTGCAATTGTAGTAGCTTAAATGAAATTGTACCTTGAGCGAGAACCAATTGACAAGGAGGAATGGGTGAATAGGTTTTCATTTGCATATGCAAGCATCTGTTCCAAAAAGGATCAAAGGTTGTAAAAGCATGTCCACTTTCGTCGAATATTTCCCACGGTTCATACAATAAATCCCCATTGTAGCTTTGCACAGAAACACCATGATCCACTAGTTTTTCTTTGATGTTGTGATCTCGAACAAGTGAAACTGGATCTGTTAAAAGGTAGTGTGAATTCCATGAATATATGAAGCACTAATTCAGACATCAGACACGGACACAGAAGTGTCCACATACACGCATTTTTTTCAGAGGTGTTGGTGTTACGGCCTACAGAGCCATGAATGCTTGGAATACATGAAACTCAAACATTCAACAAATTTTAAAAGCATCACACAAAAAGCACATACCATAGAGATGATTAAACACAACTTTTGTAGCTTGAACAGCATTTACACATTCCAAAAGTGCTTTAAGAGTGCTATCAGTTTTGATGATTACAAGTCCAGCTCCAAGAGATTTGAGTGATTGATCCAAGTGAACAAGAGACTGTTTCATCCACCATCTTGAAACCCTGCCTGGATAAAACTGTCCTTCTTCTTTAGGACACCAAATAAAGACAGGAAAAACAGCACCATCTCTTGCAGCAGCGGCTAATGCAGGGTTGTCCTCAATTCTCAGGTCCCTCCTAAACCAAACAATAGTCCTATTCATACCTTCAAAAGTTCATATTAAAGATTCCTAAGAAAAGAATACAAACAAATATCTCTGGATCTAAGATTCAGCACAACACAAGATAGCTTCAAATAAGTGTTAAATTTGACTTAGTGTTGGTTTGAAGTGAGAAGTGATTGATTGTATGTGCATAAGGAAAATGTGATTTTGTCGCTTTGTGTTAATAGGATCGAAGTATGGATGGAACTGGAAGATCAAGTGGGGAACATGTAGTGAAATAAAGAGGAGGTGTGGGCAGGGTCACAGACACACAGTACATCAGGCGAAGGATAAGGAATATCCTAGTAGTACATTTTTTAATATTTTTTCTTTTTTAAGTTTAAATTTGATTATGGGCTCAATTATATTATAAGGAGTCGTTATCAATTTTGGAAGCTAAGTTCAATGTAATCTCTTACAACTATAGTAAGCCGCTGTTATTTATTTAATACCTCTGTGTTCTATAATGAGTAAGTCAGCTGATTTTTTCATATAAGTTAAAAAAAAATTGAAATAAAGATAATGGTATTTTTATTAAAGTGTCTATATTAATTATGAGGAATAATAAAAGTAGTATTAATTAAGTGGTAGAATTGAAAAAAGATGCATTAAAAATTAACATGGGTAATTTATTTTGAAATATTTTTTAATTCTAAATGGATCTCTCATTGTAGAATGGAGGAAATATTATCAAGGTTTTAAAAAACAGTCGCATAGCATGAAAGTTTTCACGATTTTAGTCGATATAGATGTTGCGGCATTGATTGCGTCACTGTGACTGAATTAATCGCAATTTGTTCTTTAATATAAAAATGTAGATGTTGCGGCATTGATTGCGTCACTGTGACTGAATTAATCGCAATTTGTTCTTTAATATAAAAATGATAAATAACGGTATTAGTATTGATACTTGCCTGAAACCATTTTGTCGCAATCGTTTTCACAGTCACATACCATTTTTTAAAGCTTGGGTATGATATAAGAAATTACACTACCATAAAATAGTATCAATATTTCTATGTTATAAAGAAGTTTAAAATAATTAATTGCATCAAAATTTTGTTAAGGTCGTAATATAAGAAATTCACAACCAGAACACGATATCAATATTTCTATGTTATAAAAGAAGATAAAAATAATTAATTGCATCGAAATGTTATTAAGGTTGTAATCTCTCTCTCTCTCTCTCTCTCTCTCTCTCTCTCTCTCTCTCTCTCTCTCTCTCTCTCTCTCTCTCTCTCTCTCTCTCTCTAAGTTTAACAAATGTAATATATTGATGAGCTTCTAATGGACTTGGTGAATATATCGATCAACTTGTCTTCAGACTTGATATGAATTTGTGGTTATTTTTTCTCGAAAGTACTTGTGGCCATACGAGGGATCAGGTTGGCAGGCGTTCAATGGCACAACAACTTGTCCTTGGGGATGCATCAAATTGATGATTAACATGGGGGAAGGGGGAGATGTTAGGATTGTCGACTCACAGTTCGTGGTAGTTCCCTGCAAAAGCATCTACAATTGCATCTTCGACAGACACTTTGTGACGGCCATAAACGTTGTAGCATCCTCGGTCCACTTTAAGCTGAAGTTCTACATGAACAAGACACAATGAATGTTGCCCTTGCTGGAGCCAAAATAATCTACCAAGCATTGCAATAAGATCAGAAAGAGTGAGAATGCAAAGCTATGAAGATCAATGTAGCCTCCTTCACTAGCCAGTTAAGGGACATGAACGTTCACCCTCTACAGAGAAAAAGCAGCTAACTCTGGGAACTGTGGATGGAGGAGTAAATAAGTGGTGGTAAGTCCACCTTGTTATGTTGATGTTTTATTATGTTGATGTTTTATTATGTAAAACTGACTCAGATCACCATGTTGTATCTCAATATTTCCATTTAAAGAAATAAGAATATCCTTATGAAATATCTTTTTTCTTTGTGATTGTGAAAGGTAAAGATGAGTTTGCGGTACGATCGAGGAAATCGAGTTCCCACCACAAAGACTCAAGGGTGTTTTCATAAATACCGCAGGTGTGTGACTAAAGTAATTACAACCCCACAATGTAAAGCGCACACACAAAGAAAGTGACAAAACCATTAAATTGGAAATAACTGGCTCGCTTCCCTAGCTAATCACTCAAAATGTCGTGATGGGTCTGCTACATGTTAGTTTCGAACCAGGGTTACACCTGGGTGGGGGAAGGGGTACCAATCTTTGGTCAGGCATAATCCCATAGATGTCTAATAAATTTCAAGCGATAACCTCGTAAAGTTAAAGCAAAGCTCGAAGTAATAAAGTGGGATCCAACACGCACACCTTAATCAGGTAAACGATATCCAAATTCTAAATCATATATAAATGTTATTTAATGAAAGGTGTTACATTTATAAAAATGAATCAAGCAGGAATGTCAAAAAAAAGGAAGAGAAGGGCATGGCTAGTTTCTGAGCAAGACAACTTCCCCATCTTTAACTGTATGGTATGACCGTAATTGCTCCCTCGAAATGCATAATGGAGAGTAAAAATGTTCTACTTTCAATAAAGCATTCTCAAAAGAGTAGTAGATATACATACGGTCGGCATTAGCCGCTTCATCCAATTTTCGAGTGAAAGAGACATTTTCAAGGCGTAAGTTCTCGAGATCTACTTGAGTGGCTAAAAGAGATACCTTTGTAGCATACTCGAAGCCTAAGTAGAAGTCAAAGCTTTATCACTTTTTACCACTTCTCTTTCTTGCAATTTTACTTGTTCAACTAAAGGACCAGGGAGGTTGAAACCATTCAATGTGTCACTCATCTCGGTAAGAGAAACATAAGCCTTGTTCACTTCTTGCAAGTGCATATCACGTTGAAGCATCAAATCACATACATTGTCCTACAACTACTACATTTCCTTACAATGCCAATCAGTCTAAAGAACGTCCCTATGATTGACTTCGCCAATGGTTAGAATGGAAGACGTATTTCATGTGTAGTACTCTAGAGTTGGTAATTCCTCTTCGAGAGCATTGTCAATTAGGCTGGCAAGGTAGGAGCAATATTCTTCTGAAGTAGACCATCGGTGCTCCATTGGAGTATGAGGTCCCGCCAGATCCAAAAAGACAAGATTTATAGGGCTTAGAGCATGTGACACCCTTTGTGTATCTCCAAAAATATCAACTTCAAGATTAGGTACCGAGGCAGTTCTTCCTCATAACTGAGGTAAATCCTGATGAGGAGGCTGGGGTAATCTCTTCACCACTCTAATCAAAGCATAGATGATGGTCGGTGGTGGAAAGTTTGAAGGATCAATAATAATTGGGATAACTCGAACTCTTATCTTTATTTGATGAATTATATTCTCATACTTCATTGAATCTACCTATGACAATTATCAAAATGTCAAGAACATTACAACATATCAATAACAAATAAAGTCAAGTTCAACATAACATATAAATGCGTCTCCCTGCGATAATTTAAATGCCACATGATCGGTATATCTAGTGAGCATGGAACAATCAATAGGCCCTCCAGGAAACCCTTCATCTGGACGTACAGAAGGTTTCTTCAAAGTTGGAACATTAACCTCTGTATCAATCAGAGGATTAACCTCCATATGAATCGTAGTAGGAAGAGTAACCTCCATACAACTCGTAGTAGACGCTTTAGTATTCAAATGAGGAGTAATCTTTGTATCAGTCGGAGCAATCGTCTTAGAAGGATGGGGCACCTCTGTCTCAGCCAAAATCTTCCTATTATCCTCAACTACTGTCTAAACATCATCAACAACTAGCTCATTATGCTAGATATTGCGGGATGCGCAAAACTGCTCGGACGCTATCCGCCTCTAATGAGAACTGGTCAGGGCTACTCTTTCCACCCTGATATATAAGTCCTCGACTCATATCTCGTTGCATGAGCCTTCACTAAAACTCTATCACGCTGCTTAGAAGCAATTGTGCCATCTCATCCTCTTGTCGTCACTGCAAATACAAAAAAAAAAAGATGCAATTTACACTATCGGGTTTTTTAAAAATTCAGAAAACTTCATGCATTTCGTTATTGTTTTGAAATGTCTGGTTAACCTAAGGAACGTTTTCCACTACCTATTTTTTTTCAAAATCACTGGTATAAGTGTTTTCCTTTTTATCATTTTTTTTCAAAATATCCGGTAGAAAACATTCAGTTTTATCGACTTTTTCAAAACATCCAGTAGAAAGCGTGCATTTTTACCGGAATTTTCAAAATGCAATTTTATCGATATTTTCAAAATATCCAATAAAAAGGCCTGAGAAGCTGAGTTTTTACCGGACATTTATAAAAAAGCGGTAAAAAATGCATGTCTTTTACAAAACACGGTAAAATTGTATATTTATTGGTCATAAATTCAGTAGTTTGATTGAAATATCTGATATATTTAAGAGGTTTTAAAAAAAATAGAAATGTTACAATAGCATAGGGAAAAAATATTTCGCAAAGTTAATATGATAATATCATAGCATATAAGAGTGTCATGTTAAATTGAAAGATGGTGGGATAAATTCTCCAATATCCATAGTCTAGCGGGGAAATTTGTGAGTATAAGCTATTGGTTAACTTAACTAAAAAATGCAAGAGTCGTCACTGCACTTTTATTTCATCTAAAAGGAAAGGAAAAATAGCGAACAAAATCAAACAAGTTCTAAAATAATAACAAAATGAACAGAGACTGGGTAAGGGGGTTGGTTACGCAGAGGGAAGGTGTTAGCACCCAAAATATATATAGTACTCTAAAGGAACCCTTTGAAATATCTACGTTTTTTGGTTTGAAAAAGTTTGTTTGAAAGGATATTGGGAAGATGAGAAGAGAATTATTTTTTTAAAATTTTTGTGTTTGGAGAGACTTATCGCCTCATGCCTACGTATCCACAAAGTGCAATATAGGATCAAAACTCCGTAGTTCATGGTACAAATGACAAAAAAAATGTTTGTTTTGATTGATTTTAAATGTAAAGACAAGTCGTCATTTCCAAGTGAATA